ACGATACGATAATACAAATAGTAATCACAATGATACGATCTGAATCGATAATGCATACGATGATAAATAAATGATTACGATCTGATACGATACGATAAACAATAGTAATACCAAGATACGATATGATACGATGATTATATACAATGATACCGATCTGATAGCGATACGATTATTACAATATAGTCAATACATAGATACGATATGATACGATATGATACGATGATAAATACAAGAGTACGATCCTGATAGCGAAGTCCGATTATACATGATAGTAATACACATGATACGATATGATAGCGATATGATACGATGATAATACAATGATACGATCGATACGATAAGATAATACATTAGCTCATACAAAATGATCGATACTGATACGATATGATAGCGAGATGCATACAATGACACGATATGATACGATACGATGATACAATATAGTAATACAATGATACGATATGATACGATATGATACGATATGATACGATGATAAATACAATGATACGATATGATACGATATGATAATATAATATAGTATACAATGATACGATCTGATACGATACGATAATACAATATAGTATAGCAATGATACATATGATCCGATAACTGATACGATGATAAATACAATGATACGATCTGATACGATACGATAAACAGATATAGTAATACAATCGATACGATAGTGAGTACGATATGATACGCATGATATTCAATGACGATTGATACGATACGATATATCAATATAGTAATACAATGATACGAATATGATGACGATTATGATACTATGAAAAATACAATGATACTATCTGGATACGATACGATTATACAATATAGTGATACTATGATGACGATATGATACGCTATGATACGATGATACATACATGATACGATTCTGGACGATACGATAATACAATAAGTAAATACAATGATACGATATGATACGATATGATACGATGATAAATACAATGACACGATATGATACGATACGATGATACAATATAGGTAATTACAATGATACCGATCTGATACGATACGATAATGACAATATAGAATAAATGATACGATCTGATCGATACGATAATAAATATAGTAATGACAATGATCCGATCTGATATGATAGCGATAAGTATAATATAAGTATACAATGATACGATATGATACGATACGATAATGACAATATAGTAATACAATGATACAATATTGAACGAGTATGATACGATGAATAAATACCATGATACGATCTGATACGATACGATAATACAATATAGTAACTACAATGATACGATAATGATACGATATGAATACGATGATATATACAATGATCCGATCGCTGATACGATACGATTATACATATAGTAATACGATGATACGATATGATTACGATATGATAGAATTGATAAATAGCAATGAGTACCGATCTGATATCGATACGATTATACAATATAGTAATACAATGATACGATAGATACGATATATCGATGATAAATACACGATGATACGATCTGGGGATACGATACGATAATCACAATATAGTAATCAATGATACGATATGAATACGATAATGATAACGATGATGAATACATGATACGATCTGGATAGATACGATTATACAATAGATATACATGAATACGATTGATACGATATGATACGTATGTACGATGATAAATACAATGATACGATATGACTACGATACGATAATCGCATATAGTAATACAATGATACGGGATATGATAAATGGATAATCATGATACGACTCTGGATACGATACGATATCAATATAGCATACAATTGATCCGATATGATACGATATGAATACGATGATCAATGGCAATGATATGATCTGATACGATAGCGATACATACAATATAGTAATACAAGATACGATCTGATACGATACGATTAATACAATATAGTCAATAAGATGATAGCGATATGATTACGATTATGATACGATGATAAGATAAAATGATACGATCTGATTACGCTAACGATATACAATATAGTAAAATGACAATGACTACGATACTGATACGAAGCGTTAAACGATGATAAATACCATGATACGATCTGATACGATACGGTATACAATATATAGTAATACATGATTACGATATGATACGATATGATACGATTATGAATATGCAATTGATACGATATGATAACAATACGATGAATACAATATAGTAATACAATGATAGTATGATGAAAGTAGCGCGATGTGATGGGAATGTGGATGTGGGTAAGCCCATCATTGTTTGTAAATTTAACTGACAGTTACATGCACCACCGAGCTGGTCCTAACTGCTTTTCTCCCTTCCTGAATAATCTGCTCAAAATAACACCAGCTTGGTCCTGATATGCCAAAATAAACACTTGTTTGGTCTTAATATGCCCAAACAATTAAACGCCAAATCTGGATACGCCGACAGAAACCCCAATGTGATTCATAGCTACTCAAACAAGCACTACCTTGGTCTTACTATGCCTAAACGATACAGGCTTAGTGTGGATATGCCTATACCTTTATTTTTATCTACGATTACCTACCTTTATCTGGCCTGAATCCTTCAAAACAAACCGAACAAGTGCCGCAGAGCGACAGGGCTCATCTGGTGTCTGGTGTTCTGCTGATAAATTCATCTGTGCATAGCAAGACGTCCTATACATACGTTCATTTCTAACCCCAAAAAACAACACTTCAAACTAGTGTAATAAAATTCCGATAGATGGCGGGCCGCTATCAAAGGCATCGTTGCATCGGTCAGCCAAAGCATGGCAACTGTTAGTGTGACGACAGATTGCAAAAAGCAGGAACGAATAATTACCATATTATTACTATAGATAACGTGCGTTCTATGGTGTCAGGTAATAAGGTACATTAAACCACTTGCGATAAACATCTGGCTCGTTACAAAATAGCTCAATGGTTGATACAACCAGAGCAGCTCGTGCAAGATTACAATTTACAGCAATACGATAGCAAATATCTGTAAACTAATTTCAGTACAAGGTAGGCCAGTGATTAGTGGACCGAATAAGCTTAAGAACGTACACACTTGCGTCTATATTGGTGCCAAAATTTGATGAGAAAATTAAGTCTGGGAAATCTGCAGCCTCACTCCTGAGTAATTATTTGAGTGCTAGTGACTGTATTCCAACTATTCATAATGTACACTACAGAATCTTATATATAAGTCATCTCATTATCTCCTAAGTAAGCGTTGTTCAAGTAAGAGTTATGTGTGGAATTTCACTGTAAAATGGGAGCTTTCCACAACCACAGGTACTCGCCAACGCAGTTGAGAAACAAATCAATGTTTAACCCTCCTCTTGAGGGTCAAAAGGTTATCCGACACTTACTCTTTGCATGTCAGCGGAAAGTACATTTCATGGTCCTTTCAATAAAGCCATAAAAATGGTAGGTCACCGCTGAAACAAACAAGTTTTGCAATCGCTCCGTCAGACCATGTTCTCATAAAATGTCTGAAATCTGCCCTGTGCCCCATTGACCTTTGACCTGTGACCTCCAATTTCACAACAGTGATGGTTTTTCCTACCATGATGCTATACACCGACTATCACGAGCCTAGGTCGAGCCGTTTAGATTTGTGTCGCAATTCTGCATTTCCTCCCTATACTTTAAGTTAAGGATGGAATGTTCCCCCTTCTTTTACACCTCTTGACCTTTGACCTTTGACCCCCAGCTTCGACATCCCAACTCGTTTTCGGATAGTAATACAATGATACGATCTGATACGATACGATAATACAATATAGCAATACAATGATACGATATGATACGATATGATACGATGATAAATACAATGATACGATCTGATACGATACGATAATACAATATAGTAATACAATGATACGATATGATACGATATGATACGATTATGAATACAATGATACGATCTGATACGATACGATAATACAATATAGTAATACAATGATACGATATGATGATAAGTAGGTGCGATGTGATGGGATGTGATGTGGGTAAGCCCATCATTGTTTGTAAATTTAACTGACAGTTACATGCACCACCGAGCTGGTCCTAACTGCTTTTCTCCCTTCCTGAATAATCTGCCCAAAACAACACCAGCTTGGTCCTGATATGCCAAAATAAACACTTGTTTGGTCTTAATATGCCCAAACAAACGCTAAATCTGTCTGGATACACCCACAGAAACCCCAATGTGATTCATACCTACTCGAACAAGCACTACCTTGGTCTTATTATGTCTAAACGATACACGCTTAGTGTGGATATGCCTATACCTTTACCTATTATTTACAATTACCTACCTTTATCTGCCCTAAATTTTTCAAAACAAACCGAAAAACTCTCGTTTGATTCTGGTCTCTCCAAATAAACTCCCACATGATCTGAATAGGTCCGAACAAACTCAGTGCCGGATTAACTAACTAGCAAAAGTAGCATATGCTACGGGCCCCGCAGTTTCACGGGCTCCGCGCTAAATGCTCGCAAGCTATCAATTCCGATTCAATGATTCTGCACTTGCTATATTACTATAGTAGTATACTGCCTTCAACTTTTATCAACGACGGGGCGTTTCTGGTTAGCGATTTTTATCCAATTATCACCTTTAATCAGAGTTATTATTTTAACACAGTAATTATTGGGAGTGTGATATCTGTGTATTACATATACGACGCATAAATACGAAGGTTTCTGAAACTGAAGTCATCGCCGGCCCGCTGCACAAAAATCAAAACGAAAATGGAAACGCGCCTTAGCTGAACAGTGACAACACGCCTCAGGCCCTTAATAAAATGGCTGGTTTACTTAATTTAATTAATTTGAAATGGAAGTAAAACAAGATTGTGTTTTAATATTTATGTGTAATTTTTTTAATTTGGGGTCCCTTCATAACATATCCTACAGGTCCCGCACTATCTTAATCCGGCCCTGAACAAATTCAAACGTTACTTAACTAAATAACTGTTATTGCATAATTTTCAGTAATAGTCGATCAGTTTATTTCAGTCACTTCACGTGTTCAGTTTATTGAATTCGCTTACATCCATGTAACAGGCAGAACTAACTAACATATGCGATTCGGATAAACGCGATTCGCCGAAGTTTATTCACATACGATAAACGCGTCCACCGAAATAAAAACGGGCACAATGAGAGAAGTGTCTCGCTTGCAATCAGTCGCCAGATAGCAAAATATCACAAAGGCATTTTTGCAGCATAGGAATATGTGACGAGTGAAATTAGGCTACGTTATAATTAGGCTAAGATTAATCAATTAATCTTAATTCTAATAATTAATTATAATTCCGTTAAAATACCGGCTAATTTGCTCAATTATGTTTATTTTACAACGCAAAAGCAAATGATTGCGAACTTCCAGACGTTTTCCCATTTCAAAATGTTACATTTGACATTTTTCGACGTTTTACATGCTAGCAATCCGACCAAACAAAGATTTGAGGGCCAAATGCGACGACAGGCTGGGAAGTCAAAGCTCGCTGGCGTGTACGTGTACGAATATCCCGCGTATGCCAAGATATTTAATCAAGGTATGGTTAGCGAGATATTTGATCAAGGAATGGTTAGCGAGATATTTAATTAAGAAATGGTTAGCGAGATATTTAATCAAGAAATGGTTAGCGAGATATTTAATCAATCTAATATTCTTCTGCTTCGTCTTCCTCCTCCTCCTCATAAGAATCGGTTCCCACCTCCTCGTAGTCCTTCTCCAGTGCCGCCAGATCCTCTCTCGCCTCGGAGAACTCTCCCTCCTCCATGCCCTCTCCGACGTACCAGTGCACGAAGGCACGCTTCGCGTACATCAAGTCAAACTTGTGGTTAAGACGCGCCCACGCTTCGGCTATTGCAGTGGTGTTACTTAACATGCAGACCGCACGGGGTACTTTAGCGAGGTCACCGCCCGGGACAACGGTGGGTGGTTGATAGTTGAGACCAACCTTAAATCCGGTCGGACACCAGTCTACGAATTGGATCGAGCGTTTCGTCTTGATGGCTGCGATGGCTGCCTGGACATCCTTGGGGACGACGTCGCCGCGATAGAGCAGGCAGCAGGCCATATACTTGCCGTGGCGCGGGTCGCACTTCACCATCTGGTTGTTAGGCTCGAAGCACGCGTTTGTGATATCAGAGACAGACAGCTGCTCATGGTAAGCCTTCTCGGCAGAGATAATTGGAGCGTAGGTTGCCAGCGGGAAGTGGATGCGAGGATAGGGCACCAGGTTGGTCTGAAACTCGGTAAGATCGACATTGAGGGCACCATCAAAGCGCAGAGAGGCGGTGATGGAGGATACGATCTGGCCGATGAGACGGTTCAAGTTTGTAAAGATCGGACGCGTGATGTTCAGGTTGCGTTTGCAGATATCGTATATGGCCTCGTTGTCTACCATGAAGGCACAATCGGAGTGTTCCAGCGTCGTGTGCGTGCACAGAACGGAGTTGTATGGCTCCACCACAGCCGTTGACACCTGTAAACGCACGTGTATATGTACTTGAAAGCTACACTTCCTACATCTGTGATAACATCGAGCCATTGTTAGCGGTCACTTCTTTAGAAAGAGACCTGTCTATAAGAGACTTCTTCACAGCCCTGTCTATAAAGAACACCATTGGCGATTCCTTATACGGTGAAACTACGTCTATACACCGGAAACCTGCCTATAGGCCTAACGGAAACTTTTAGCATTTCACTTCAGTAGCAGTTATACGGTGAAACTACCTCTATAAAACGGACACCTGTCTATAAAGGACACTTGATGGGTATCGCAGTTTAACTGTGTAATAGTAATCGACGGCACTATAACAGTAACGTGGCATTTGTGCTGAAGTGATCCCATCGTCTCTAGACGGGAACGCCATCTCTAAATTATTAGATGTACCTCTGGCGCCGGATAGACGGCGAACTCCAGCTTGGACTTTTTTCCGTAGTCGACGGAGAGACGTTCCATGAGAAGAGAAGTGAAGCCGGATCCGGTTCCCCCTCCGAAGCTGTGAAAGATGAGGAATCCCTGCAGGCCGGTGCATTGGTCGGCGAGCTTGCGCACGCGGTCGAGGACGAGGTCGATGATCTCCTTGCCGATGGTGTAGTGTCCGCGCGCGTAGTTGTTGGCTGCATCCTCCTTGCCTGTGATTAGCTGCTCCGGGTGGAACAGCTGTCTGTAGGGTCCATGTGAGATCTCATCTACACAGAAAAAAGCAGAGAGAGTCAGAGAGATAGCGAAGGAGAGGAGGCGACAGAGAGACCGACAGAGATAGTGATCGAGAGCGGGAAGAGAAGCAGAGAGAGTTAGAAGGATAGCGAAGGAGAGGAGGAGACAGACAGACAGACAGCGATAGTGATAGAGAGCGGGGAGAGAGGGAGAGAGGGGAGAGGGAGAGACAGGGTGAGAGAGGGTGAAAGAGGATGAGAGAGGGTGAGAGAGAGTGAGAGAGGGTGAGAGAGAGTAAAAGAGAGAGAGAGACAGAGAGAAAGAGAGAAAGAGAGAGAAAGAGGCAAAGAGAGGGTGAGAGAGTGAAAGAGAGAGAGAGAAGCAGAGAGAGAGGGAGAGAGAAAGAGAGGAAGAGAGGGAGAGAGAGAGAGGAGAAGGAGAGAGGGAGAGAGGGAGAGAGGAAGAAAGGGAGAGAGAGGGAAAGCGAGGGAGAGAGAGTGAGAGAGGGAGAGAGAGAGGGAGATAGGGGGAGAGAGCGGGAGAGAGAGGGAAAGAGGGGGAGAGAGGGGAGAGAGAGGGACAGAGAGAGAGAGAGAGAGGGAGAGAGAGGGAGAGAAAGAGAGAGAGAAGGAGAGAGAGGGAGAGAGAGGGAGAGAGAGAGAGGGGGGGAGAGAGAGAGAGGCAGAGAGAGAGAGAAAGAGAGAGAGTGAGAGAGATAGAGAGAGGGAGAGAGAGAGAGATGACATCCTTACTAATACTGATCAACATACAGTCCTACTCATCAAAAACTGTATGCAAGCTTTCACCCCTGTTGTCTATTAATGTTTGCGATTGGTATCTTGGTTTGCCACCGACTCACATGGCTGCATGCTTAGTTTATGACTTGTGCGTGGGTACCAATGAATGACCACTACTGCATGTTCGATATGAAATAAATCTCTAAATTAACTTACTATTAATTAATTAACAGTTAATTATTATTATTATTAACTTATTAATTAACTACTTATTCTCTTAATCTACGATCTAAAAGATCTGCTTTTTCCATGGGATGCTGTCTCGGTGAAGTTGAGAGGCTTACGAGGGCCAGTGGCCTAAATTAAGAGGAATTTGTCTGTGGTGCAGTCTATGGTAAATTAAGCTTGAAATGTCAAAGACTAGAAGCCTGACCAACTGTCTGGACTACAGATTATGGGGTTAGGCATCAGGACGATTACGTCACCTCTCCCAAACAAGTGCCGCATAGCGACAGCGCTCATCTAACGTCTACTGCGGTGACTCTGTGGTGGAGTGGTGGGATTCTAGTAAACTCTGTTAGTCCCAAATGTGTTCACATACATGCCGAATCAGTGGAATGCACAGGGATGGTATCGAACCTCTCAAAAGGAATGTTTGGTGGATCGTATGAAAGTTGGCCACGAGATGGCGCGTACGTTTAAGTGTCGTCAGAATTAAAGATGGAGCTCCCATCTATACGTAGCAGCCAACAACTATCTGCAAGACAGAAAGTAAACACCATCCATTTACCACGACAAGCCCTACAGGCTGGCGCAATAGAGAGCGGCCCACCGTAACCCAATTAAGGCAAAAACTCCAACATACTCACAACACGGCATGGCAATACTACGAGTAGACATTACTGACACTATACAGAAGGCGATAATAATTATACGATTAAGAGCATAAACGTTCTTTAACCAAATTTAGATTGAAATTTGTCACAGTGTGACAGTTGTACCCATACATCCAGGCATTATTAGATCCACATCACAAATCCGGCGTCAAATCTTCTAACACACGTCAACAAATCCATGTTTAACCTCGCCTCTGAGGGTCAAAAGTATCCGGCACTGTACTCTTCGCAGGATCAGCAGAGAAGGGACATTTCAGTGGTCTTTCAATAAGCCAGAAAAATACTAGGTCACCGCTGAAACAAAAAAGTTTTCCAATCGCTCCGTCAGAGCTCATGTCCTCCAGATAATGTCTAACAAAAAGCTGGCCCTGTGCCCATTGACCTTTGCCCCTTGACCTCCAATTATTAGCACAGTGATGGGCTTCCTACATGATGCTCATACCACCGACTATCACGGAAGCCTAGGTCGAGTTCTCCGTAGATTGGTCCGCAAGTCTGCATTTCCTCCCTATGACCTTAAGTTCAGGATGAATTGCCTTCTCCTTCTTTAGCCACACTCTCTGACCTTGCCGGCTTGACCCCCAGCTTTCGACAACATCCAAACCGATTTTGACGGATGCGCGCCCCGCGCAATGTGCCGAATATCGTGACCGTGACGCTCGAGCGGTAATGATTTTGCCTAACTGTTGACGAGCGGAGCGGACGGGCCCGACGGGACGCCCGACGCCGATCAATGCGATTCTACAAGCCTGCATCTAACTCCCATGTCAATGAGGCGTAAAAACCACTGTTACTATATGGCTGAATGTGTCTGCCTGGCAGCATTGTCGAAAAAAAATTTAGTCCTAATACTAGTCTTTATACATCAACCATTGAAGGCGTATATGCTTTTCTGCTAAGACCTTTGAACACAATCATGTAAGATAGCACGGATAACAAAAAATCCATAAGCAGATTTCGCTCAGCACATTTACCAAAAATTAACTCTGCTGCAGAGAGCCTACGGGAAAGGAGATTTGTGCCTGATAGACTGCGTGCACATGCTGAACAACAACTAAATAGAAAATTTTGCCGCCAGTATGCAATGCAATGAACTTGCTAGATGAGGCCGCCTCCGAGGACCCGCTTAAACTATGTATTGTTATAAGTGACGGCCAGAAGACAGAAGTAGAATGACGTCCAATTGAATTGAATTAATTTCCTTAGGGGTGATGCCTATAAGTGGGGGGGATAAATTCTGAAATATGCACTTACGGAAGAGAAGCATGAAAATCTGCCCGGGGAGTTTGAGGTATGCGCCGATGTTCCCAGAAATTTGCGGGTAAACACGATGTCACTGCCTACGTGTTCCTGCGCCTAGAATGGCGCACGCAGAAAAAATTTGTTTTTTCCTCCCATAAAGTGCAGCTGTAAGTGCCTCGATACCTATGATCTTGTGTCATATATATATTATTTTGAGTGCATAAATATGTATTAACGGTAGATGATTCCTTAATGTGAGGTCTGCGTCCTAGTCAAATGGTAGTACAGTATTCTATCTCAACACACCCAGTGTGTACGGTATTAACGATAACACATGCGAGAAAGCGTTGTGGAAGCAACGCCAACTAGTTAGCGTTTTTAATACGACGAACATGATCGCATGAACGGGTCACCAGCCACGACGCACGTCACGTATGACGTCACTGAGACGTACCGATGACGGTGGGTTCTAATGATCCAGGCCGAAGACGGCGCGCGTAAGTGCTTGCCGCTGGTCCGTTCCTCGACTAAAGAACTGTGAACGAATCCTTCATCTGTCCCCGGACTGGCTGTCCAGCGGCATGGTCCGTCTGGCTGTATGCCGTGGCTCCAGCAGTATAGTTCCCGAGCAAGAATTCTGCTACAATCTGACGCCAGCTTGTCCGACGTGTATGGAGATATCGAGTTCACGCGGAAAAATCGATGAAGAGATATCAAGATTAATCGTCGATTGACATGATGTTCTAATCGTGGTTTGATACGATTTCTATCAGATCCTGTTCGGCAGTTGTTTAGAGCATAAGCGGATACTGCCCTCCTATATTATAATATATGTTATATATATATATGTATATATATATATATGTATATTATATATATACTCTAGGACTACTTGATACTTTTGATACTGTATGAGCGAGATTTTTAACCTCGTGACTCAGACGCAAGTGAAGTGACTCATAACGCACTACGGATCTCTCTCGCTTTCTTCTCGATGTACGAAGAACTATAGTGTACTAGTTCTAATGGTGATATTGTTGAACAAAATCAATAAAAAATACGAATTTGCAACTACTATATCCAATTCCTGCTTCCAGAACTAAATGAACATTCACAGTGCGATTATACAATTTATTATAACGGTTAATATTTTTATGTATGCGTGTACGTGTACGCATATTAGCTCAATTCAAATTGTACAGTGCGCACTCCTCCATGCTCTGATAACTTTCTAGTAATAACTATGAGTCAAAATCTAAGACGACTAACACCCAAGAACCACCACAACGCACGGACAAACTAGTACAACACAAGTAGCGAATCTTACCATGATTAAAGTGTTTAAAATTCTCGGGAACCTATTGCTGTGGGGTGATGATGGTGGCTGTTGCAGCGATCAGTATAGAGAGGATGTGTGTAACGATGAGTCCTCGGTAACTGTCAGGGAATGGTTGCTCGAGCTCACCACTTTATATAGGTGCGAGGGCCCACGCTGCCAGACGCTTGCACTGTGCAAATAGGAACGACGGAGGGCTGGGTGCTGTTTATCAATTCTGCGTCTGGCACGTCCCGCGTTCAAAGTTCTCAATTGCTGCGGACGTTTAAACGTAGGCTACCCGAGTGCGCGATTTGTCTAGTGAGTCCGACGATGAGCAAGAGTGAAATGTTGCGAATAAATCTGTTCGCGTAGAAATATTATATTATAGGAAAGAGCGCGTCATTGAGCAAGTGAAGGTCATTATATACCTCCACCAAGGAGGTTATGTTTTCGTCCCTGTTAGTTTGTTACCTCCGCCAAGGAGGTTATGTTTTCGCCCCTGTTCGTTTGTTACCTCCGCCAAGGAGGTTATGTTTTCGCCCCTGTTCGTTTGTTACCTCCGCCAAGGAGGTTATGTTTTCGCCCCTGTTCGTTTGTTTCCTTCGCCAAGGAGGTTATGGTTTCGCCCCTGTTCGTTTGTTTTCTCCGCCAAGGCGGTTTTGTTTTCACCCCTGTTAGTTTGTTCCCTTCGCCAAGGCGGTTATGTTTTCGCCCCTGTTCGTTTGTTACCTTCGCCAACGAGGTTATGTTTTCGCCTCTATTAGTTTGTTACCTCCGCCAAGGAGGTTGTGTTTTCGCCCCTGTTAGTTTGTTACCTCCACCAATGAGGTTATGTTTTCGCCTCTGTTAGTTTGTTACCTTCGCCAAGGAGGTTATATTTTCGCCTCTGTTAGTTTGTTGGTGACTTGGTTTGTCTGTCAACAGGATATCTCAAAAGGTTTTGGACGGATTTTGATGATTTTTTTGTACGGGTTGGTCTTGGGCCCATAAACAATCGATTAGATTTTGGTGGTGATCCCGATCCAAATCTGGATTTTTTTTTTATTAAAAAAAAAATTTGTGGGGAAGGCTTCGGACGCATTCAAAATTCATCAAAAAAATCCAGGATCTTTTTTTTAATTGCTGAAAATTTTATCAAACCAACAAGCTGGGGGGACTTTTACGCGGTGCAAATCCACTTTAGGCACCTTATATCACGAAGTGATGCACAGATTTCTGTGTATCACCCACTGATGCACAGACTTTCCTTATATCAAGGATTGATGCACAAATGTTTAACTGCC